GTATGCCACCTTGCTATGTCAACTGATCTAATGACATACTGAAGCATACTTTTGGTGATAAAACTTGTGATCTTACTACATGTACCTATTTTGACTCATTCTTGAGAGCATGTTTTGTAGGAAGGTTTCTTTTCTTCATTATAACCTCTCTTCATTGGTAGGATCCCTGCGCAATACAAGGAACAGATAGGTAGCACGTTAGTAGTAGATTTATGTGAAGGGACGCAATCTGGGGTGCATGCTCTGTGAGAGTGCAGTGAGCAATAAGGAGGCTAGGGCTCTTCAGAATAATGATTATAAAGTATTGAAGTTAAAATAGTGGGATTTTTAAAGTTTGGTTTTGTTTGGTTTGGATTGCATTTTTTTGTGTTTTTTTTCTTCAGGGATGTGACTGGATTAGAGCCTGCTGTTAAGTGTAGATAAATACAGTGGATTACCATGTTAAATACTGTTTGCTTCCTGGTGATGCATAAAGAAAATAAATTAGATGGGTAGATTATAGGATTGCTTTGGCAAATACCTTGAAAAAAAGTATTTAGTATTTCAAAGCTGGTTTGTTGTTTGGTTTGGGTTTTTTTGACTTTGGGCTAGCAAGAGATTTTTAACAAAATCTTGATTGGTACTGCTTAACACCCCCACCCCCCCCAATAACATTTGATTACTTTCTTCTGATTTCAAGTCATTACTTTTCCCTATCTGGTAAAGCAATAGCTTCGTCTTTAGCAACCAGAATTGGTGCAGAAATAGTAGTTGTATGTGTATGTACAAGTCATGTTCCTCCTCTGGACAGAAGGTTTTATTTTGCCTTAGTTAAACACACATTCCTTTTTGAAGATTGATGGAGTTGTCTTTCTGTGTAAAGATATTACAGAACTATTGCTTATCGTTATTAGATGTATGACTTCATTTCTGTTACAGCACGGAGCTCCTTTCATTTTGTGATGAATGAACAGTGGGGGGAGAGAGAGAGAGGAACACTGGAAATGACAACACTTTGTCATTCATTTTAGATTACAGTGTCTTGACAACACGACTTGGTTGCAAAGTAGAAGACAGTAATTTTAAGAGAGTAAATGCTTTTAAGACTAGACAGTCTGATTTTACTGAGGATAATTACTGTATATTACTAGAAATGTAACTTACTAGCTTACAATCTTAGATAACTGGTGTGCTTGAAAATCCAATAGCTGTGCCTTAAATGAAGTTATATATATAAATGAAGTTATGGATCTCACTGAAATCTTAAGGTAGTCATGCACTGAGAAGGAAGAAAACTTTGTGTTAACTCTAAAGAGGAAATGTGCATGATCATTTGTTTGTAAAGCTAATAAACTAATCAGACCATGGGGCTGTCACAATTAATTATTTTTCCACCTAAATTTCATGGACTCCGGTTAGATAATTGAAGTCCATTATCTTGAAATATTTGGAAGACTAGATAATTGCTTTGGATACAGAAAAGAAAAATATCATCATTATAATAACTATTACGGACTGTACTCTTTTTCTGCCTGACTTGACTTTGTAGAAGCTATTTTTCCAAGTGAGCTTCATTGTCTATGTTGATGCTTATTACTAAACTGAAAAAGCTTAGATTGGAACTGAGAAATAAACTAACTTATGAACTAATTATTAGAAAAGAATTTTCATTCAGATCTGTTTGACTACTGAATAGCAAATTTAAAATGTGCCTAGATTTAGTGAAAATTCTTGAAAATAGCCACTGGGGGAAGGCCTTGACAAATTTTCTGTTTCTGACATGTCGTTGATTTGATGGATTCAGACTATTGTTTACACTCCAGTCTTGTGGGTTTGGATGAATTTTTCCTGCTTGTTAGATTAGCTATTAGAAAAGTTCTTTACAGATAGTTGTATGATACTGAATTGTAACAGTTCTCTGAGCTTCATGCTAAAAGTGACAGAATAGTTAAACACCAATGAAAAGTGCTTTCAGCAGCCTTGGGAAGTGCTAAATGTTAACAGTGACCAGGTAAGACAGGATTATTGCATTTTAATTAGCATGCAAGGTAAATCTGAATATTTTTGCTGTGATGTGAATCAGAGAAGGCAACAATTAGAAATTACTAATATTACTTGTCAGCATCAGTAGTTAAACACATTTTGGGAAAAGACTATCTTTCTGTGCTGCATGGAAAGGTTTTAAGTGATTTAATCAGGTTTAAGTTTGCCATAACAACAGTTTGCCTTTGGCTTACCAGTATCGGTAATAATTTAGAAGTTATGTGTCGTGTCAGATCAAATAATGTCCGAAGTTTGTATCTGTTGGTCTAAATGTATTCATCAAACTAATATTAACCTATAGCAAGTAAACTCCATGTTCAACTTTACAGCAGATGAAGATGCTCCTGGAAGGATAATTCTGGGAAAATGCTTAATTTTAGGTGCTTTGTGGACTTGAGAACAAGCTGAAGAATATTTATTCTAAGTTAGACTTGACCTGTTTAAAAAAAAAAAAAAAATCACTTGAAAGGAAAAGCACTGTTAAGGTAATCGAAAAACTGAAAGACAGGCTGTTATTTAGAAGAGTGCTACTTCTTAAAATTACCTTACATAGAGGGAGAATATACATTTATGGTTTAGGTTTTTTTTTTCTGTAGTAGCTGCGTGTAATCGTGCCTGGAATAAAAAATTCTTCATCACTGCTCACTGAGTTCTTAGACACTTGAAATGGGGAGAGGGGGTGGGGAATGGAATAATATTCTAACAAGCTTTTGGCAATACAAGTAATTCTTCGTCCTTTCTGGTGGTCAGGTGAGCCAAGACGGAAAGTCACTGCTTGACAAACTGCAGAGACCTTTGACTCCTGGGAGTTCTGATTCCCTCACTGCTTCTGCCAACTACTCAAAAGCCGTTCATCATGTTCTGGATGTCATCCATGAAGTACTGCACCACCAGCGCCAACTGGAAAATATTTGGCAGCATCGAAAGGTCCGCTTGCACCAGCGACTTCAGCTATGCGTTTTTCAACAGGATGTTCAACAGGTAGGTTTTATTTTCTGTTGTCTAAATACCTTTGTACTCTGTCAGCCTGTGATTTGAAGCTGGTTGCATTAACAGGTGGGTTTTGATTGCTGAATCTGGTGTTCCTTCATTCAACAATTGAATAGTTGCATGGGATTGACTGACTGATTCCAAGTTTTGTATGTTATCAGAGGATATTGGCTGTTATGGGGAGAAATTATATTTCTAAGTTAGCTTTACTTCATTTTTTTTTTCTTTTTTTAAATCAGTTTTTTATTAAGTCAGGATGAAAAAGTTTTTTATTATTAACAGCTATTCTGAGCTCGTGCTGGAAGCTGGCATTTATATTGTAAGTAAAATTCTGGACTCAGCATCAGAAAGACTTGAAGGAGTAACATGCAAAACAATAACAGTGTTATTCTATAAAATTATTTTAGTTTCGAATCCTCAGTGATACTTCATTGACTTAATCAAGTTTGTTTAAAACCTGAGAGTAGTATACTAAAGAGGTATAAAAACTCCAGAAAAAATTACTTTCTGACAATGATGCTGTTCTTGATTTAATAGTTATTAGCTGCTGTATTTTTATTATTATCATGACATCCATAAAAGTTAGTAGTTAAGTAGAGGCATTAATATCTCTGACATGGTTTTAGCTTAAAAATGTAAAGCTGTACAGAATTCCTTTTTTGATAGATTTATTTTTTTTTTTAATAAACAGAAAATGTTTGCCTTAAGCTGCAATTGACAGAGACATTAGTAATTTATCACTTAATAGCGATAAAAAAAGTAAAGATGTCCGGTATTTGCTGATCTGTTCTTTCATTTCAATATAAAAGCGTTCACAAATTGGAAACTTCCAAACTGGGTTTTTGGATAGCCAGTCATATATTCTGATAAAACGTATAATCCTGTTTTTTCCAAATTATTTGCACTCTAAGCCAAGTTTCGTTTACTTACCTGTTTCAAGAAGATTGTAGATGTGAGCAGTTGTGAGTGAAATAACCTCATTTCCATCATTTACAGTAGTTAAAAAAGATATTTAATTCAGGCAGATGGTAGGGAGAGTGAGCAGTCTTGTTAGCTCAACTTTCATCTATATGCAGTGCCTATCTCTTCATGTAAATTAAACAACTTTAAAAAAATCCTTAAGCAGTAAATTAAGTGTAAAATTATTAGAAATAACAGTTGAATAATCATTGACACCATTCAGTGCGTGAAATTACTTGGTTTTGAGGTAATGGTTAAATTTATATGCAAGACATTCTGGAATGGTTTATGTAGAGCTCCAACTTTCTAAAATACTTTAGTTTTCATTTGCACATTCTCTCAGGCTTCTTAGTCTTTATTCAAACCTTAAAAAATTAAATTATCTAGCATGATTTAGAAACTAGCATGAAAACCTTTTTTTAATTATTGTCAATAAAGTTAAATTTTATTCATGTCAAAATAAGCTAAGTGTGGCTCTCTTCCACCGTTTATAGTTAAATTGCACATAGTGGCAAGCAACCAAGTACATGTTAAGTGAACCCATAACTGTGCTTCAGCATGAGTCTGTGATTTCTTCCTCCTGCCTCTGCTGGCATAGTTTTATGCTGTATTAATGAAACAAATCAGTTCATAGAAGTGTTAAGTGAGTGACACGGTGAGTTGGAGGAGGGACTTGGCTGTGTTGAGCTGGAGCTTCATTTTGTGTTACTTCCACCTTAGAAAACCGGTTGGAGGGTTTTTTTTTTTCTGTCTTCTATGTTCACTATTGGGCAAGTGTTTCTAGTGGAGCTTTCCAAATCAACAAAAATACTGTGGTGCTAGGTGTATACACCAAGAATCATGTACTAATTTATTGGAGAGGGTAGTAAGGAAAGTAGTGGGTGAAATATTAAAAATAGTAGATAAAATGTGAATCACAGCAAATCTGAAATTTGAACTGTGAAAACCTATGACAGTCTTAAACTGCACAAAATTCTGAGTTTGACCTTAGCAGAAACATGCCAGGAGATCTAGTTCCTGGTTAGTTTGTATATTAACACCAAAAAAGAGGGTGTTTATTTTAATTTTAAAAAGTCAGGTCATTGGCTGTTGCACTGAGTTGTTGAAAATAGCATCTTTTACATTAGATGGGCTAATAAAAGCATAATGTTATGCTTCAGAATTAATGAGTTTACCAAGTGGATAGTAGAAGCCAGCCTTTTGCCTAAGGAAAGGAGCTGGCTCTGATAATTCTGATATGAAGCAATAAAGCAGACTTGGAATAGCAATGTGGGGGTTTTGAGCTGCTAGGCCATGAAAGGTCAAAATTGGATGTAAAGGTAATGTCTCTGGTAGAATGTTACTATTCACACTCATACATTCGAAGTTTTGGGGCCTGAAAACCACTCCTGATGGCTTGCAGAGATTAGTAAAATATACTTGTAGGGATTTTTTTTTTCCCCAAAAGTTACATTACTTAAGTATTACTGACCTTGGGTGTCTTCTCTGTCCATTCTGTATAAATGTACTGCCTCTCCTTCCTTGATCTGCCTCCCTCAAAGACTACATGGGAGTTTTTGTTGTAACAGTCACTTGTTTCAGCCTTGGCTAACGAAGGGTGGGCCAAGGATGCCTGCTACTTGCTCAGCATTGACATAATACTGATTTCACTGGGTGATTCCCTTGTGGCTTTTGGAGGCAGTTCCAGTGTAAAATGGTTCTTTTTGGGGAGAGACTATTTCCACATTTTAACTATCCAAAGATCAGAAAAGCAGACATTTCAATCTTCTGCTTCAGAATGTCATGTCAGCACCAAGTAAGTGGTGGAGATCAGAAAAGTGAGTGTGTGCAAAGTAGGTAAAGCGGTGGGAGGTAAGGACTGGATAATAATGTGGGAAAAACTGCTGAAAATGAGCGTGTTGAATCTGCAAGAGATCAGATTGTTTATTTCTGCAAGCTGCATATACAAAACACATATTTTTCAGCCATGAGCAATGAATTTGTCAAAACGAAGCTATCTTTTCATAGTAGTTTCTTCTGTCATATATTCAGTATTGGTGCTAGAAGAACAAGCATTTTTCTAGATCCTATATTGAGCATAAGGATGGTTCTGCTGAGACTGCAGTTAGAGCTTAATTGCATTGTTAAAGCAACTTGCTGCAGTGGAGGATAATATTATTCACCCTTTCACTGAAAAGTATTGAGCCTCTTAATCCATTATGTGTTACTGAACTACCAGAGTGAATTCCATGTGCTTTCAGTATTAGTAGAAGAGTCCTTAGTGGGTTGGTAGGATGGTTTCTGTAACTCTTACCTCTCCCAGGAAGAGGAAGAAAATGTATCGATTAAGATTGCTAAATGGCTGATATCAGTGCCAGCTAATGATATTGTCCTTTGGTCGAAGTGGTATGCAAAAGTTCTCACTGATAAGCAAGAGTGTACCTAAACTTTGACTCTGCCTTTATATGCTGTGAAATTCCCAGATAAGAGTGCTTCTTCAGTTTTGTAAGAATCACTGTAAGGCAGCTGACCGCTAATAAGGCTTGTATTTTGTACTGATTTCACTTAGAAGCAGCAGTATTTCTCGAGTTGACTGGTTTATGTCATGGTCTGTGTACTGGATTTCTATGACAATTTCTTCTCTTGAGAAGTTACTGAGCATTATTTGGAGCAAAAATCATTCTCCCTTGGCTGCTTTCTGCTTTTCATCCCATGCTCTCTGGGGCAGATCTTGCTGTTGATTTCATTTGTTAGCTTATAACTGTTAGTAGTCTCCAGAGTCCAGTCTTAATTCTCTCGTCCAAACATGTCTCTCTGTAGCTCTTTTTACAATGAGAAAAGCAGAGTAGTCTCCTGAAAGTAGTCAAAAGCACTGGCAATATAAACTTTACAGATAACTGAAGTCATGTTTGGATCCTCGTTCTGCTTTCTCTGATCAATACTTTTCCTTGAAAGAAGCAAATGAAAACTTATATTGACCGAAAACATAATAATATTCTTTTGGCAATACTTACTAGGAAAAACAAACATTGCATAAGTTGAAGTATGAAGATTTAGTGAAGTGTTGGTGATTTGAGATGACTGTATTATGTGGCATTATGGGATTGCTGTTTCAAAGGTGTCCAGTAGGAGAGAGTTTGCAAATCAAAAAAAGATTCTAATGGTCAAGAAAAATGAGAAAATCACACCAGATGGTTTCAATTTTCTACTAAAGAAAGCATGGATGTTTGTATGGGAATAGTGGGTGGGATTACGTGTATTGAATGTAGCCATGAGTGATATTGCAGGAATGGTTCTCCAGTCTGTTTGGAACAACAACAACAAAAAAGGGGTCTTTCTCTTTAGTTACACTAAGTGACAAATGCCTTAAGTACAGGAAAAAAGGAAAAAAACCTCACCCAACTAAAGGATACTAGGAGATAAGGAGAGAAAAGGTACAGGTTTCTGGCAGGTATATTAAAAACAAAACAAAATACTTGGGTTTTAAAGAAAAAATGAAAAGAATGCTAGAGATAAATGTTAGGTAAAGTATTCCACACCACTACGTAAGTACTGTATAAAAATGGTTAGCTGACATAATAAAGTTGCTTATGTTCAATTGTCCTTAATTATGAACACCATTCTTGAACCTCTGAGTATCTTCCAAAGAATTAAATACCATATGCATGCTAGCTAATGAATGAATGAAGATATGGCTAAGATATCTTAGTGTGGAGACCAGATGTTTTGTTCATTTACTCATCAGAAACTTGGTATGTGTGCAGTAATGCAGGAACTAATTAAATGCACAGTTTTTACTATTTGTAAAGCTGTCAACCCAGTCATTGTGGTAAAAGCTTTAATGTCCTTAAAATGTCTTTCCTTCCTTGCTTTTTCAAGCTATAAAGTTTATAATACACAATTAATGTCCAGCTGATGTTTTGAGGAGATGCTTCTTCTGAATTGGGGCAAAATCCTTCATATGATCTGAATGCAGACATTGTCATTCATCTCATAGTAATTTCAACTCAATTTTGATGTGTTAGTTAAGAATTCTACTACTGAATCTCTTTTCTTGACTTAATAATATGTAGTACAAGCAGCAACTTCTTATTTAAAATAAAACTTCACTGTGTTATTCACCAACATTGTTGGGGAATGTACAAACTCCATTAGTGTTACATTACAAAAAATGTCAGCTGAAGGCATAAACAGATTACAGAGACACCATCACAAGGGGTCCAGCCACTTGGATCAGATTACTGTCAAATTGATGAATGTGTAGAAATGAGGTTGTCCTTGGTAGTCTTCAAAATAAACATATAGTCTTAAATCATAATGATTTAGCTAGTTTGAGGTAGTTATTGTCTTGAGTAGTTAATGAGATATAATTAATGTCCTTCAATGGCAATACTGTGTTTTAATCCAACAATACAGTTCCCTATAAGCAGTTCCTCTACAGCTTCTTAGTTTCTTGAATAGTTGTCTTTTTGTTGCAACATTCAGTACACCCACTCAGAGGTTTTGTGTCTCTCTTCTGTACCCACAGGTATTGGATTGGATTGAAAACCACGGAGAAGCTTTCCTTAGCAAACATACTGGAGTGGGAAAATCCCTTCATCGGGCTAGAGCTTTGCAGAAACGCCATGAAGACTTTGAAGAGGTTGCACAGGTAAAAACAATCACATGAAGGACTGTACATTTGTCATGGAAATACATGAAAAAGTCTTGCTCTGGGACCAAAGGGTTGGGCAGAGGCAGCTTCACTACAAAAAAAAAATTCAGTTCCAAGAACGGAGTGTTTTGTTTCCGTTGCAAGCTTTTATTTAATTTCTCCTTTGTGCTCCAGCTTCAATAAGAAAAAGACAAACTTCCACAGCCCCACAGAGAGTGGGAGCCTTGAAGCCCAACAGAGGTGCTGCTGCTATTATTATTTATTATTATCATTTTCAAAAGCATTGCAATGCTTTCAAATGTTGAGTCGCAGAAGAATGAAAGTTCTCCTTTTAGAGTAACTTAATTCCATGGGATTCTAGGATTTGAACTTTTGTGCAGCCTGTAAGAGATGATGGAGATGAATTGAAAGCCCTGCTTCTTGACTTTAAGTTTGGGGAGCTCCCAAATCCACACAACAGTCTGATGAGGGAGAAGGGGGGAACTCCTAAGAATCCAGGTGAGCCAGCAAACTGGTCAACCTGGCTTTGGATTTTTCCTTTAAATACAATTGAGTTTGTATATGCCCTCCTGTTCTGAATTTCCTGATAACCAACACATTTTTCCATAGGAAGACTCTAGTTTTAGCCTTAAGTGGAACCGATGATAGCACACTTTTCTGAGGAAAGAGTCAAGCTGAAAGAAATAGGTACTAAGGAATACAGGGAGCATAACAACAGAAAGTTGGTTTGGGTGGCATCCTTGACAAGGGGACGTGAGGTGAATAAAATGTATGAGAAGCTGAAGGCTAGAATCCTCCCCATTAGTAACATGCACTGTCTGACCAGTCTTAATGATTGGCAAGAGTTAATGTCTAAGATTTGTCAAGAGATACAGTGATCCTTCAGTCAAAACCAGAAGATGCATTATTAGAAAATCCTGAAGTGAAATGCAGGAGCTCAGCAGTGACACCTACTATGGCGGATGCATCAGAATTGTGTTTACAGATTGCCTGGTTAATGGATGATTAAGCTCTTAATAAAATTTTATTGTAAATACAGTCTTAGAGCACTCCAGTGACTGAGGACTTGAAATAGCATCAGAAAGCTTCCTCAATATTGATTTCTTATAAAATTTTCCAAAATAATAAGCATTGTTAGTTTTGTATATACACATGCTGGATTACTTTCCATATGCATGCCCAATACTTCATTTTTAGTAAAATCTGTAATATTTTCCATGTGGAAATACTTATTTTTCTGGGTCAGACAGCAAGAATCTATTTTTGTAAGACACTTCACAAAACCTGAGTGATCTCATACTTAATACTGTGCTATTTGAGCAAAAAAAGAAAAAAATGTTTGAGTAACCAAAGGGGATGAAGTGTGTAGAACTGTTAGCGGGATATAAAAAAGTATCTTGTGAATTTGCATTATACTTTAAAGTAGAAAGTTGAGAAGCAAATACTTAGCAAAAACTTCCTAAACCTGAATGTTAGAGTTTGAAATGTTCTCTTTAGGGGATGGGTGGAAATTCTACTTTTGGAGATACTGAAAACTTAGACTGGTCAAAGAACTTTACATAAATATACTACAGGGGACTATCTTCCACTGACAGAAGGATGGACAAAATGATCTAATAAGTATTTTTTTCATCTCTAACTCTTGAATGTGTAGTGACTGCCAAGAGAGGCACACCCTCTTGAGTTTTTCCTCTTACTTGCTCTAAAACTGAATGTAAGCAGGTCCCAAAAGGCCTTCCTGTTGTTGGTGTTGTAAAGAAGATTATGTTCAAGTAGAAGACACCAATCTGCAGTCATTGTTAAAGCCTGAATAACTTTGAGCTGATTTCTTCTCTACCTACATTTCTGGTTCATCCAGGTCTTTGTTGTGTTTTGGGGTTGGCTTTTTTTTGTTGTCGTCGTTTTTTGTTGTGTTTTGTTTTGTTGCCTTTTTTTTTTTTAATAGGATCCTAAGCATAAACAGGGGTTTTCAGTCAGCTTTAGTCAGAAGTTGAGAGGAAGCAGTGTTGAGTGAACTGTCAATGGCACGGCAATGTTTTATCAAATGCAGGCAGCCAACAATGTTGAGATGTTCCTGATTGAAGGCTAACTCCTGATTTTGAGCGGAGTGAAATTTGTTCTTTTTTTATTCCCTTCTGCTTCTTCCCTCATTCTTTTTTTGATGTGAATGAGGTGCCAATTCCTCAGTAGCATTCAAAAAGATGTTAGAATAAGCTGTGTGTCAAACAGAAAACATGTTCCAGAGTCAAGTTACCGCTGTCTTACCACTACAGAAACGCTTGATAGTCTAAAGTCAGCTGACCAATAGTCCTCCCTAAATTCTGTTGTGTTGATATTCATGCTACACAAACACCTTTAGACTTGCACCCACAACGGTAAAATTGTGTGGCACTTTTCTTGTGAAGCCTGTCCAGTTCACTTTCTACTTATCTTTTTTTTTTTTCCCTTTCTTTTTCTCCCCTCTCCCCATGGTCATCTTTGTATCCATGACACCATTTAGTCAGTGTCAAGACTGCAAATTTTGACATAACTAGTTCACTTATGGGCATGGATTTTCAGCTTAGAAGCACTGGATGCAGATCAATAGTATGGTTGTGCTTCCCCATGCATTTTTGCATGAAATTTTAAGTCATCTTCTCATATTTCAACTATGATTGACATCTGCTTTTTGCCAGTAGTCTATGCTCAAAAAACATGAAAGGTGTATGGCAAGAATTATTAGTGGGATCTTTTTCCACAGGTAAGTTCTTTTTTGCATGTGCAGACTGCATCTGAGTAAAGAACTGATGTCATCTTGGTGTAAGAGACATACAAGAAAGATTCTTCCAAACCTTGTTTGAATATACCTATCATTTCCTTACTGCCTCCTTTAAGGTTATAAAACAGTTATGTATTTGAACTGGTTCTTAACTTTACCTGTGAGTGGCTGTAATACATCAAACTAAAGGTCTGTGTCTTAAAAGGACTGTATGCTTGAAAAGTTACCTTTACCCTCCCGGTTGTCTGGGCCTATTTGATGTCTGGAACTGAAGGATACATCAGAACCAGTTTAATAGTCACTGATGGACCAAACCCTTAATTAGGCTAGCTACTTTTTGAACCCATTTATGCTTTTGGAATGTGTGCCAGATCCTGTGGCAATGAGTTACACAATTTAATTGCTCCTTAGATGAAAAGTACTTTTGCTTTTTCATTTTAAGTGTGTTGTCTGATGCTTAAATGTGATAGCATCCTTTGTATTTAATGAATAATCTATCTTAATTTTTTCTACTTTTAATGATCTGTATACCTGTTAATCTCCCTCCATCCGTGTGTGTCTCTCTTCCCCTCCTACTGTGCAATAAACTGAGTTTCTATGAAATTTCAGTCCATACCTCCACTCACTTCTGTTGCTTTATTGTGAGTAGTACTCATTTCTGCACTAGTCTCTTAAATTTAACCTTTGGCTTTTCTATGATGTCTCGCTTCATATGCCTTCTAAAAATACGGTGTTTGTTTTTTCTGAAGAATATGTAGAGAAGGTTTCTCAACAGGAAGACTAGGAAAGCGATGGGTTATGTTGTTGGGGAAGGCGGTAAACTCTCTGTTATGGACAGTCTTTCAGCATTTTGGAGGAGAATGCCTGTTAAAGACTGGAATATACTTGGTCATGCCTTGAGGCACAGAGGGATGGACTAGAAGACTTCTTAAAGCTCTTACCAGGCTGATTCTTTTCCCCTGGGATTTGGGGAGGGTGTGCTAGTGGAGATATTCTGAGGAAGTGTATATATTCAACTCTGTTGAATTTGTCACTGTGAAGGCTCCTTTGTCATTTTATGAAACTGGCACAAGCAGCTTCAAGGGCGAACTCCTGTTCTTTCTGCCTAACCTGCTGTTTTCTAACTGCTCTCTGGCCCTTGAGACCAACACTTTCAAAATCTTCACCTTACTACTTTTTTTAACTCCAAGCATTGTTTAGAAGTAAGCAGAGAATTGGGGAAGGCAGTAGTTAGTACAGCGTGCCTATTTGCTGTGATACTTATTCCAAAGGGCAGTTATTATCTACCAAGATAAGTATTTATATTATATTTTAGCTCTGCTTGGAAAGGACATTTTAGCAATAAGGCATGTGTCTGCTGTTAAGGTTTGAGAACTGCAGCTCCTTTTGAAGCAGCATCTGGGTTGTGATCATTTCTAAGTACAGGCAGTTCACCATCAGCTTACAGAAAGAGAAGTCTGATGTGCCTGGGCCTGTGTTACACGGAAGATACTCCTGGAATTCATAAACAATGCTTCACATGTGAGATAAAGTTTTCATTAAAATGGGAAACTTCTGTTTCAGCCATCTGCAGCTGGGTGTGGCTCTTGGGGTTGATGAAGTAGTTGTTTGAGGAGTGCCTTAAGGCTCTTCAGCCTTTCTCCTTGAACACGTGTGAGCTGCGACCGTGGAAGTCAAAACACCAAAGCGCAGATCAGAGTGTGTTCTGGGCCAGCGTGGCCTGAGCCAGTGATTGGGAGCGTCAAGTAGTGTGCTCCCCACTGAAAAGGGTAGGCTTATGTTAGTCTCTGGAGGCCTTGCCAGGGAAACTGGGGAGGAGTTCTCTACCTCTCTGTGCAATTAAAAAACTGAATGTTAAGGAAGGGCCAAGATGCTCATAGTAAAATTCAAGGAGCAGCATGGATTTAATTCCTTACATAAATAGATCATAATAAATGAAGGGGGAACTCCCCCCAAATACAAAAGCTGCACTGCGTCATGTAATCTGTCATGGGTTGTGCTTGGTAATTTGCTTGAGACCCTGGAGGGGAGCTCTTATTTCCTGCCCCGTAGTTGAGTTTTGGGGCTGGGCTTAGATTTAACTTTTGTGGATATTATAATGTTAATTAGAGGTGTGATACTGTATTTATGGCAAAAAAAAAAAAAAAAAGGCACACTTAAATAGGCTCAATTTATCTTGGCAAGCAGTGTTTTTACCTGACATAATTGATGCTGGGAGAAGATGGAAAGGCAGAAGTGAGAAAAGTGTAGTTTATATTATCAATAATTTTTTTTTTTTAATAGTCTGTGGTGAAGACTTATCAGGAGACCTGATATGGTGATATAAGCAAAGCTTCTTTAGTGTAGCCTTGGCTTCCGTCTGTTTTCTCTAGAGGTTAACATTCTTTTGTGCTTTCTTGATGAGAACCATTCTAAAATGTGAAAACCCAAGGTTAGGCTCAAAAAGAGCATGCAAATTATAGCAAATCTTTGGAATCTCTGTTTTGAATTAATAAGAAAGATACAGATGCAGGCTGCAAGTTCTAAGCTTTATGAGTTGTTAAACATCTCACTCTCCTCTGGACCATAGCACTCTCAGCACAGCAGGTACCAGACTTGTCCCATTCTGTTTCCTGCTTTGACGCAAGTCTCTTGTAGGACTGCTGATCTGCATTTGTTAATCCTATGACGTATTGGAACAATATTCCACTCTGACAGTCAGCCATAGCTGACTTTTAAATCTTTCTCTATTGTTGCTGTTTGACAAATTAGGATCTGCTTGACACGTGAATTTTGGGTACCTCACTTCTGTAAGGATGGAGAGAAATTTTCTTCTGTGCCTGGTCACTTTCCACCTTTCTGCTGCATGTGTGGATTTGATGTTAAGTGTTTTTACCAGCAGCTAGAATTTTCTCACCTCTAATAATACACATTTGAAAAGTCTTCTGACCATGACTCTAGTGATTTTTCCAATATTGAAACAGGCGGATTTGCAAGTAATTAGACATTTAATTTAGTCTGATTTTTATTCTAGTGGTGAATATAAAATACTAATTCCAAGGAAGAATAAATAGGCTCCCAAGTTCTGGATTGAGGAGACATTTGAATAGACATAAATAAGGAGCTGAAGAATGAATTCATTCACAGTAAATTAAAAAGTATCTAGAAATATTATGAAATCTTTAGTAAGATTATATACTACTACCTTTAAAAAAAAGAAGAATGAAAACTACATTCCTTTGTCCTTACATTTTCATTAGTGGAGTGGCTTTAAAATAATTGACCGAATTTTCTTCCATTTAATCCTGTGGAACTAACTTATTTCTCTACAGAACACATATACCAATGCAGATAAGCTCCTAGAAGCAGCTGAACAGCTCGCTCAGACTGGAGAGTGTGACCCAGAAGAAATTTATCAAGCCGCCCATCAGCTCGAAGACCGAATACAGGATTTTGTTAGGCGTGTGGAGCAACGCAAGATCCTGCTGGACATGTCTGTGTCCTTTCACACTCATGTTAAAGAGGTAAAACTGCTGCTACGTCATGGTCATAACTTTAAGCCTTAAAACCAATAATGTCCAATGTTACTTTCATTGTTAGAACCTTGCCATACAAAGTCATGAAATCCCTATTGTACGATGAGTTTTGGGTTGTAATTCACTGCATATTGGGGGCTGCGTAGGGTGGTTGTTTATGGAATTTTTCTCTTTTTCTTTTTCCTTTTTTTTCGTTTTCGCAGGCAGCTTCTACCTCCTTTGTTGTGCAAGTACACGTACTCATTCAGTCAGGGGGAAGGGTCAGATCAGGGAACAGATACAGCTAAAAGACAGCATTGTAGGGGGTGATGGTGTGCACTTCTGTTTCTTTTTTCTTTATCCAACCAGGCTCCAGTGGAGTTAACTGAGTTGTCAGACACGTGGTTAGACTGACAAGGTTCAGGAGACCGAAGTGCATGGCAGAAGCACAAGGCTACTTAAAGCAAGCCTGCTGCCCAGAAAGTCTATTTTCTTTCTCTCTTTTACACATTGCGTTTAGATCTTGTATGTTGATGGTTCTTCACAATCTAAAGAGCGTGTGTGATACTGACAATGGTTTGCCTCCTGTTTAGCCTCCTTCAAAGGTTGAACTGATACACTAGGAAAAAGACAATTCAGCCAAACACACTTAGTTTTCAGCCAGATCAGTTTTCTTCCCTGGTTCGGAACACAGATCATGCTAATTTATAAGCTCATGGGAGAAGGTGGAATAGGCTAGAGAAAGAATAAGGACTTCAGTAAGGGGTTTTGGTTAAAGGTAGTGGCAAATTCTGACAACTGTAGAATAGTTGTTTTCTGTTTAGAGCTCATGTTAAATCTTTCACTGCTCAAACTAGGTGAAAATATGAAAGGCTTCTGGATCAGAACATGTCAGAGTATGTCTTCCTTCCTTCACCCTACATTGAGAAATGGTCTGTTCAGGGGACAAGTACAGTATTCGAAGTAGCTTCTTCAGCAAAACCTTGTAGAGTATAAGGGTGGGAGTTTTTGTATGTGAAACATCTGCTTTGCACTTGAAACAAATGCACAAGGCAGTTGGTCTTTGAAGGAGGTCAGGATTGAATTACGCTTTAGCTCTAGACATGAGTACATAGCTCCCCCATCAGTTTTCTGTTAGATGCTTCCTTGACGATATTCTCCCAGGACTCTGCTTGTTTAAACAAATTATAAATGCTGTATCATAAGCTATTCTTAGGGGGCACCTTTTTTGTTTCACTTTTCTGAAGCATGTAGTGCTGTTCCATTACATATTGTGAGGCACAGGAGCAGTCAACTGCTGAAACATGTTCATTGTTTCTATAGATTTCTTCATTACCTGTTTTTCTTAGCATTGAGAAGAACAGCTGGAATGGTATTTAAATGGATACAATTGGTTGTAGTGATGAAAGACAGAGACCGTAAAAGGATTTGCAAGGAAAAGGCTTTAAAAAAATCCAAAAAAAAAAACCGAAAGGCAGACTGATCTGTGAGTCACTGTTGAGTAATTCTGGGAGGCTGATCCAGATGTGCTGGAATGTTGCCACTGCTCCCCTAGATAATCATGTTGTATTGAAAAAAAAGAAAGATATTCTGAATCTTGATTTATTTCTTTGGGAATATGAGTATTATTGTGACCCTGTAAGTGCACACAGCTGTTACTGTGGCAGCCTTTTTACAGCCTGGACTTTGGGGGGAAGTACTGTAGCTGACGTACACATGTTGATTTTTTTGGTTTTGTCGTGTGGCTGACCTTTATACCTAATAAGGCAAGGAAAATTTAAAAGAATACTTATTTATGTAAGCAAGACTATCTTTTTATTTATTTGCATTCTGCTTGAAAATACAGATGAGTGAGTGAGGCAGATGGTTCATATTTAGTAGACTAGTCCTTTGGTTCAGGTGCAAAGAAATTACAAGCTCCAAGCTGTCTTGTGCTTTCTGTATTCTGATCTGTTTTTGAGAGCATGTTGTTTGTTATCAAACATGTGTGTGGAGTGCTGAGAAGGCATCACAAAGCAGATGGAAGATAAAAATGCCCTAAACCTGAAAGTCATCCATGCTTTGTTGGCAGGAGAATTGCATTTCTCCTGCAGGATGTGGGAAGTCACTGAATAAATTAGTGCATACCTGTTGGCACGTAACCTTTCTGCTGTATGGTGGAGTGAAGAGATTCATGTGTACACTTAGCTAGTGAAGGGAGGAGTTCAAATAGTAGGATAATCTGCTAGTTGTTGAACTGGAAAGGGATGCTTCAGTTTTTTTAAAAACAAACAAACAAAAAATGACAAAAAACCAACCACCCAAACAAATCAAAACAAACCACCACCAACATGTTTTGCTGTTCAACTGTCAAGGATGAATTTTGTTTCTTGTATCTTTTTTGTGTTTTTCTGGTCTATAAAATAGGCATGAAGAATAAAAACCTTGTTTGTGTGTGGCAGTTTGGAGGGAGCCACAGAACTGAGAAGATCTGGTAATCTGAGTTGTTGGCTGTTTTGAGGCTTTGAAATCTGGCTCCGATATCCATCCAGTCCCTTGATATTTTTGAAGTAGGATGTTTTGTGTTTATTTTTTTCCCCAGAAATACTTGATGTCAAATGAGTGTTCTTCATCTGGATGAGAAGATTCCAGTACTGCTTCTCCCCTGTAGCTTTACATAACCTTTATACTTGACACAGAATTTGCCTGCGACTTTCCCAGCTTCCCTGGGAAGCATCAGCCCTGCAGTGTCTGTGCAGTACTGTTACTCTGTTCGTGCTTAGTAAATCAGCACAGTTTCTGCTTTCAGAAGCAACGTGCTTGCCACCAAAGCAATAGATCGGCTTGACATGTCGTGGAAGTAACAGACTCTTGCTAGACCTGAGCCCAAAGCAGCTGCGTAGTATGTGTGCAGCAGCCTGTTACAATGTACATTGGAAATGCTGGCTGTCTTTAATATTTCCAGGAGTTCCTTAGCCAGGTGGTTACAAGCTGGCAGAGGTCCCTGTGGCTTACAAACATTAGAAAATGACATGTAAGTTCTTAGAGTTCTCATAGATTAACCTCAGTAGACCACATTTCTCATTGGGGAAAAAAAGGATGTATTCAGGGAAGCCAGAAATATGATGTTAGATAACAGTATCACCATCACTCACTTTGCTTAATGGCGATCCAAGAAAATCAGTTGCTTGCTATATGTAAATTGTGATTCCATGCTGTTATGTTATTACTAGTTTTAAGTTTGTAAGGTTGTGAGTACTGATTTTTAGCTCTCATGCAAACAGTGAGAAATTTCAATCTGTAAGACAAATTTTTCAGTAAGTGGTGTACTGAAGTTAAGCCATGCACTGGTGAGCTTTAAAAGTGTTTGGGATCATAAATATCCCTATCGGAATCTTCACATTGAAAAATACTGTGTCCCATCAGGTTGCCCGCCTGAGGATGGATAAAATGCAACTGAACATCTGAAACTGTTGACCATTGCAAGACAGTGTATCTTTATGGCTTTTGTGCCTTTTGACATAATATGGGGAGGGACAAGGTGAGAAAAATTTGCACAGATAAAAGATACGTTTCCTAAATAAATGGTTATCATAAAAGGTTGTGTGCAAAACATAGGAGCAAGAGTCATCGTAGTCTTTGCTGTGAAATCTGTCATAAAGTAGAGATGAACAGGATTTTGCTGTGAATTAAAATTCTTCTGTACACAGACATACAGACGCACATGCACACACTCTCTCTGAAACGGCTCCCTCAGCATCTATGAGTGGGAAGGCTGAAATCCTGGCCAAGCCAGGTGTTTGTAGTAGTGCCAAAGTAGAGCAACAGATATTTTCCTAACTGGAGTCAAGTGTGGGAATACAGATCAGGCTGACTGTACATGGAAGAGAATGATCTTTAAAGAGCCTGTTGGCTTTTTGCATATAACCTTTTGTGTGTATTCTGGCAAGTTGATTATAAAATAGCTCAGAGCGCTTTTTATGTGTACAGAATGTGCTTAATGGTGTTACTAGTAAATGTCTTTTCTTTTTTTTGTCTTACTCAAACTAAACTTTGCACTAGAATAGACTGAGGTTGAAACAAAGAAAAGGGAAGTGGAATTGGCTAAGAATTCAAATAGAAAACCTTGCTGTTCCTGAACAGAAGTAATGAAACAGTAGTCTGTGCAAGCTGTTGAAGGAGGATGGCTTCGTTTTGAGGATGCCTGTGCATGGGAAGGCTGAAGAGACCTTGCTCTGGCCATAATGCTGCCACTTCATTCACATCTAGCTATGGGGCATATGTATTTGATTCAGTAAACCTTGTTTATAATAGTCTTGCTTTGTCTTACAGCTCACTGCCAGAAATACGCCCTCCTTTGCGTTATCCGGTATGGAAGGGTGTCCATCTGTGATGCCTTTCGTTTGTTTCATCCCAGGGTAGACCCTGAGGTGACAGACCAGCTCTTCTGTCACTCTTGAGTTTTTGAGTCTTCTGTGCTGGTGGTCTACAGGTTAAATTTGGATGTCATAATAAAGCTGCGCTCTGCAGCTCTGTCCCTTGGGCTTTTGTGCATCTCTAATATTTTTATTGTGTCATTGTAGTACAGCAATGCACATATAATGGGTGATGGGTCTGGCAAAATACGTGAAGTGCAGTACTTTGGTATGCCAGTCATCTTGAATCTGAAAGTTGAGGAGGACAATTTTTAAATCTGGTATAGGAGAAAGACATTCAGTGATAGCACACCAAAGTGTATTGTAGTTTACTGGTTTGGTAGGACTGGAATCCTGTTATGCAGTACAAATTTTCTCTCGGGTTTTTCAATACTGGTAGCTACTTTGCTTGAAAAAGGGGATCAAATTTAAGTCCAAGCGATATTGAAATAGCAGTAAGTGCTTTAGAGAAGTGAGGCAGAAATAGGCCTTCAAACTGTGTAAAGCTAGGGTATAGACATTCTTTTCTTGTTCAATTAAGAAATGGGATGAATGCTAAGAGGGTATTAGTAGTTGATGTAATTTTAGGCAGATGTGAGAAACTTGGTTTTGCTTCAAGGATTAATTTATTCTGAATAGGATATTGATTCCATTATAACTATAGAATAGATAGGCATATTTGAAGCTTTTTAAGGTAATTATATTTAACTTTTAAAAAAGTGCATGCACTTAAAATCTTAAATGGCACTGAAAGACCCTGGAAGACAAACTCCGGGGGGTTTAACATCTTACAGGTTTGGTTTTTAAAAAGATGCAGTTTTGTCCACTGCATGTCCTGAAAGCCAAAGCTTACAGGCAGACACACACACACACACACATCAGCCCCTTTCCAGATACACTTGTTAGGGAATACTATTGCAACACTGGGCCTTGTACAAATAGTAGCTTCTTCAACAACTGTGCCTGTGGTAATATACGTAGTGCAACACTGTGCTGGGGGGCAGGGGCAGAAAGAGGAATTGGCAGCTTTTACATGCAGAAACTGTGCACCTTTCTTTGTCTTAGCCTGCTGAAAAGGCTGACTGCATATCCAAAGCCATTGTTATAAAAACGAAAAATAAATTGTGGAAGAGTGTAGTAGATATTTTAGCCTAATAAAATAACTCCGTGCACTTAGGAAGGTATTTACTCAAAAATAATTATTCTCTGATTATATTCAGCAAAATACAGTAAGGTCTTATTTAGCTGCAGTCTTTCAGGAGATTGCAGGGATGGGACTTAAATGGACAGAGGCCTGTGATGGAAACACTGAAACTTCCAGGATGTTGCAGACAATTAAAATAATACCATCTCAGTGACTAATGGCATGCTCCCAAGAACTTAGGAAAGAGGTAGCACAGGATGCAGGCTCATTCAAGCAGATGTTTCTTAGTCTGTGCTATATTTAGATCAAGAAAAAAAAATGTGCTGGGTGAAACATTTGCCTGTCAGGGATTCAGAATCTGATTTCCCTTTCCGATTTTAATTCCGATAAGATGTGAAGAGCTGATGAAAAGATGTCCTTGTGTGACTGGCTTGAATTATTTATACGGGTTTCTCGCTGTACTCTAGAGCTGTCTTGTTGCTGGATAAAGTTCTTACTGAGGTCACAAGACTTGGTGGTTTGTTTAGGGATCTTCATGCTGCATCTTTTACAGAGAATAGAAAAAAATATGCCTGGAGGGTTACTCAAAAGTTCACACCAAAAGTTAATAGTTTTTTAATGCTGAGTTTGTTTGTGGGTTTTTTTTTTTCCCCTCTGGATTTTATGGAATAATGCGTTACTTCAGAAAATCATTGCACTATAAAATCTGTAGTTCTGCACTACTGAATGTGTGTGGGTAAGCTCCAGTCTCTCTTCACGCCGCGCTGTAAACTGTTCACTTTCTTTTGGCTTTGCTGTGCAGTCTTTTACTGTCTTCATCCTTAGTTTTGTATCCGAAAACAAGGTAATTTATGTAATTTCCAGTATATCCAGTGCTCACTCTGGTTTTAAAGCTGTATACAAGCCAGCTGGCTATTGTCACCCATTATGAATTAAGCTCCTGTCAGTAAATTGCGTGAATTTCTATGCAGCTTTAATAACCTGACAGTTTTCTTCGTATGTGATGGCTTTATGCTAACTTTTTTTGTCTGTAAACATCAAGCTTATTTTGAGGGGAAGCTGTTTGTCAGAAACTTACTTGATGGAAAAGTATAAAAAGTTTATTTGATAATGTACTAGAGTAACTTTTGCTATGGAAGTGTCACAGAGCTGTTTAGTAACTTCAGAAATGGCTTAAATTGTTCCCCTTTCAACACTGTATGAATCACAGCTAGTCAAGTAATGCATACTAATTACTGTGCTTCTCTTGCTGCACACTTGTAAAATGTTTTTCCTTTCCAAGTGGTAGGCAATTCAGCTAATAAATTAGGCAAACACAATGTATTTGTGAGCCCTTTGGTACCCTGGGATCAAGGTAGCATGCTTACAGCCACGCTGTGCTGACCAGGCACTAAGCTGGTCAGCATAACACTTCATTGTGCTAGTGCCCATGACTTTCTGCTCTAGGCACGTGGTGGTGCTTTGAACTGGCTATGCAGAAGGAAAGGTGTGCTTGTTCTGGTTGGTTTGGTGTCCAGCTTCCAGGGTGAACTTTAAGGGAAGTACTCACATGCACATCACCAGCCCAACGCTTACAAGTTTCATTGCTCCTGCCAGGTCCTCTCCACCCAGTCGTAAAGTGGCTGAAGTGTGTGTGAACAATAAGAAACGCAGAGGTGAGGTGTCCCTTGTACAGGTCTGACGCAACCCAGCTGCAAAGGACATATTGGAAAAAACTGAAGTGGTTCTTAGGCCTGTCTTGAGCTGCAGTACAGGTGCTTGTTAAGGGAGCCTAGGGGTAAACTTGATACAGTCCAAGAGACTCTAAATGGTGTTAATTCCTGTGTGGTAAACATCTCTGAAAATTAGGCCTTTTATAGACAATGCAGTAAGCATGACGTGTACAGGTCTTCTAGCCAGCATCATAGACATTAGATCTGCAGGCAACAACTCTCTCAAAAGTGTTACTCTCAAATGAATGTATTTGCAGACTTGCAAGCTGCACTGGCTGTGTGCACACACCAGCTCAGTTGGAAGGGCTCTAACGTGGTGCCCTATTATTACAGTTCAGACATAAACTTTACATGCTAAGAGAGAAATAAAAACACGTCCTCTGGGCATTGAAACCTGACTAAAGTTTTTCAGCTTGTATTGTCAAGCTTCTTGCTTTTAAGTTTCACTTGTCTCTATGAAATTTGCATTCCTAAGTAAGCATTTAGGGGGGAAAAAAAAATTTGGATGGTGCATTGGGTTATGCTGGAATGAATGTTGATGAGTGCTTTTAACCCATTTGGTAAGTTCTGTTGATTTGTGCTCCTTTCAATAAGAAAGACTGCTGTGGCTTGAACTTGTGGTGTTTACAGCTATGGAGTTGCATTCAGATCTGTGACAGGCATTGTCTTTGGAGCATATGAGTAGTCAGAATAACTGTGTATGAATAGGCAGTTCCGTTTGGGGGGATGGGGGGGAGTAGATTTGTAGAAAATAGTCTGGTTGAATATCATTAATTCTTCCCAGTTGTGAAAATTTAGCTTATAGCTTGGGTAACTCAAAACCAACTTCAGGAGGCACATGAGGCTCTAAGATACAAACACTAGTGTTTGGTTTTAAAATAAAGCTTCAAAGAAACCAATTAATCAACATCTAGAATCCTTCACTGAATTTTCTATTTTAATGTAGCTCCATTGGTAGTTAGGAAACCTTTATGATCAGAACATCATACAAACAGCAGCATGAAATGGGACTTCTGTAGAAAATGTTAAGTGAAAAAATATGGGAAACATTTGGTTTTCTGTCTTTTGAAATTAAGGCAATTTTGATTGCTTACTGTCTGTATTTTAACTACATTAACCTTTTAATTAGGTTCGAAGTTAATAAAGCCTATTTGTATCTCTAAAATGTATAAAGGCAGAGATTAACATGTAGTCAAAAGACCTTAATACCTTCAATCAGATCAGAGTTAGTCTTTCAGGATAAAAACCAAACTCTAATCCTTGTTCTCGGAATCGCAGCATTTGGGATGTGATGGTAAAAGAGAGGAGGGCCGGTTTGAATGCTTCCTGTGCGAGCAGCTGTTTCACAGTGCTGTTAGTGCTGCTCACAGGGGTGTTGCAGGAAGCAGCGTGCGCCCTCTCAAGCAGTGTTTTTATCAGTGGCACAATAGATGGCTCACGGTTTGCTGATGAATAATTTTCGCACAAGGCTTAGGATGCAACAGCTTGCCTCATGAAATTGTGGAAAAGAACACAGGAGGGTTCAAGTGACCATGGTGATACCTAGCGCATACCTAGGGATTTTTACGTAAGCTGCAGTGTGTGGGCAGTTCTGAACAGGGAAGTGTGCACATGTTAAGTGGGAGGGGAAACGTTGAATTAACTGGTGGAATTACTTGTGATGATTTTTATTGTAATAGTGTGAAATTGAAATCAAGAGGGTAAACACCATTGCTGTAGAGATCATGATAGAAAGTAACTTCTCACATGTGACTTGTCTCTGTATTTTGTTTTCTGAAATACCCTTTTCTTTTTCCTTTTTTTGAAGGCCACTGAAAAGCGTTATGTTGTCTGTGTGCATGTGTCAGCCTGGCAGTTTAAATTTGATGGTGGCTACAATACATCTCCCTTCCTTCCTTCCTTCCTTCCTTCCTCCCTTCTCTTGGGGAGTGTTACCATAGCATTTCCCTCCCAGGGACTCTCGCACAGAGCTGCAGATGGGATTCTCGCTATGAACTCAGTGCTGCTCAATCGGATACGCTCAGTACTGTAGAAGGAAAATGGGAAAGAAAGGGTGACTTAGCAACACGGATAAAGCTTTCCTGGTATTTCCAAGAAGCGAGAACCTTATTTGAGACAAAGGCTCGTTTTCATTAATTTGAGGATGGGATTTTTCTATGAAGAGAAACAAATCCTATTTCTCCCCCTGCCTCAGTCTGTTTTCCCTTGTCCAGGGAGATTGATTTGGAATAGTGACTGCCTGATCCTGGGGCTTACGTTTCTTTTTTTTTTCCCCTCCCCTTTAGCTGTGGACATGGCTTGAAGAGCTACAGAAAGAACTGCTTGATGATGTCTATGCTGAGTCTGTGGAGGCTGTCCAAGACCTGATTAAACGATTTGGTCAGCAACAACAGACCACTCTTCAGGTTACAGTCAATGTCATCAAAGAAGGTGAAGATCTTATACAGCAACTAAGGTAAAACAAATTTTTATTTAAATCCCTTCTGGTTTGTGTCTGATATTCTCTGAGGCTCTTTCTGTTTTGAGGGTAGAGATGATGACCACAAGATATGACCTGTAAATAACATTTGTAAACGTTAGGACTACAATGACGTTTCATGCTGTACGGATGGTCTCTAACCCTCTGTTTACAGGAAGCTCAGCTTAAACACTACCTCTAGAAGGAGATTTTGTTTACATAAGCTACCTTTTTGATAGGAGAAATCATTTGTCTTTGCACTCTCACATGCAGGGTTTCACAGCCTTTTGAGTTCTGAGCAGCAGCCTTTTTGTAAAAAGACACTTGAAATTGTTTTGCAGACTGATAAGTAACTTTATTGTAGTAAAGACCATCAGTTTGCAGTCTATTTCATTCAGTAACAATCTAAATAAATCTGGGCCCCAGCTGCCCTGGTACGTGTCCCTTTTGCTGCATGAGCTGATATTGTCATATCTGAACTTGCAGGTTTTATACTAAAATAAAAGATTTTTTTTTTAAATTATCTATTTTGATTTTTTTCATTGCCAGGAAGGTTCAATAAAATAAATAGTTATAATATGCCACTTCCTTTTCACAACAACAGGGTTTGTGTCTGGTTTTAAATTTTATTCTTCCTGTAAACAGAATGTCCTTAAATGTGGAATTAGTCAAAAAATGAAAGTAATGTAATTTCCTAATGCTTTTTCAGGTACTAAAACATGATTTGGACTTTTAATAACAAAGATGTACAGACTTAGCTTCATGTAATATGGCTTGGTCTGACCTTATCTGGAACAGACTTACATTTTGTGGTTATGTATAGCATCCAAATGATATGGCGTGTTTTTCAGTAATACTCTTTTTTCTCTTTTTTTTTTTTTTTGAACTCTTCCCCTTCTCTCTGCTTTGAATAGGGATTCTGCCATTTCTAGTAACAAGACTCCCCATAACAGCTCCATCAACCACATAGAGACAGTCCTGCAGCAGCTGGATGAGGCACAATCTCAGATGGAGGAGCTTTTTCAGGAACGCAAGATCAAGCTTGAGCTGTTTCTGCAGCTCCGCATATTTGAAAGAGATGCAATAGATGTGAGTGTCTGCTTTTGGAGCTGCACTGCGCTTATTTCCCCTCTTGTGTAGGAATGTTTATGCTGAGATTGTTGTGTAGTTGCATTGGCATGTGGCTCAAATGACTGATAGACTTAGTTCTTTCCTGAACTAAGGCTTTTTTCTTGTACATGAAAGTGTCAGGAGAGTGCAGAGCTGAGCTTTTTGCTATTAGCTCAAGCTGTGATTGGTTCCCAGTGCATCTTTAAGAATGTGTCTTGTAAAATCCTAATGTACCAGTTGCTTCATCTGGTAAGTTCGGTTTGAATATCAAGCTACCTTGATATAATTAGTATGTTTGCAGTTAATACGAATAAGACTTGCGAAATGGTTTAGTACAAGGCTTCTAAACTGCTGCTTTGTAGTAACACCTGTCTTCTCTTTCAATCCCAAATCACCTGTCTCTTCTCACTTGGCAACTATAAGTGTTAGGAATTCTGTTTTAATCTTTGGGGATGTTGTATGGGCAACATCTGTCTTTTTTTTTTTTTTTTTTTAAATAAGGTTTTTATCCACCTCTGAAAATAATGCAAAAGTGGTTGTAGTGCCACACCCCTGCAAAACTTCAAGAACTTTTGAGGCTGTCCGAATTTTGGAGGAGGGTTACAGCTTATCAGTTGGAAAGTTTCTGTTTGTGTGCAGGGACATGTATAGAAACAGGCATAGAAACTCCACACGGAGCTTAGGTTAATAGAATTGCATTATAAAGCTTCAGCTAAGTTCACATGACTATTGTAAAACCAGTAGTGCTGTATGTACACAGTGACTGAAACTGAGTTGGTGCCTCAGAAGGTTCAGGGCTATCCATTGGTAAATGATCCTGTTTGAGTATGTAATGATAATGACTTATCTCAAGACTCTGGAAACGAGGACTTACAGTGATAATTTTGCCCCTTCGCTTGTATGTAGTAAAAGCTGCAACTGTTGGTTAGGTATGAATTGTGCAAGGGCAAAGAGGCAGTTGGCAGAAGTGATAGCTTCTCAGGGTTTTGGGTTTTTTTATTTTATTGGTTTTGTTTTGTTTTCTTAAAATCAGGATTAGATATCATTGCTGAAATCTGGTTTAGCTGAGTACATTGTTAGGTGCAGTGCAGGAATAGGCAGACATAGTTCCTTGATCCGTGCCCATAGAGGAAGTGAGAGTGGGTACTCTACAGTAATAACAACTGTGGTGTAAAGGAAGACTAAAAAGGTTCTCTTCTCTATTTTGCAATTCACACTAGTCTGCAGGGAGTTTGTTACTTTGATTGCATGAGAGTAGCTGTCTTGCATCTGCAAGGGTAAGATTTTGGCAGAATTGTGCTTGTAATAATTAGTTGGATGACTGGTATATGTGGAGGAACATAAAAGGTATTCCCTTCTATAGGATTGTCGGCAACTTTCCAGTGTCTGCAGAAGTGATCTGCAGTGCTTGATGTCTGTGTGATGTTCTCGGAACACTTTTACTGAGGAAATGGCAGCTATGGGGGCAAGGCATACCAAGAAAATTAATGGAAGAATTAGGTTAAAGGTTTGAGTGAAGTTCATGATTAAGGTAATTGCTCTCTGCTGTAGGTTACATAAACCAAGATTCTACAACAGCGGAAGGCTGGTTGCAGGAGCCTTGTGTTGGAGTTGTGTTCTAGTCCTTCAGTGCGGGACAGCGTCTGCATAGATAGTAGTTCTGCATATGTTGTTTGGTGATGCCCATAGGATTTTGCATTGGAAAGCTGCAAACCCTAAGTTGACAGGTCTTGCTTTTTCTAAAGCTGACATTTGGCATGCTTTACAGTTTGGCACATACAACATAAAGCAAAGTACCAATTATCCTATTGAAAGAGGTGGTTGTATTTTGTTTATATGGCTTGGAAACAAAAATCATCCTTATTTAAGATTGCCAAGGAACCCTCGAGGGAACAAAATGACCCTGGCTGCAGAGTGTCTTCAGCAAAATGTTGTTTGCTTTGCTGTCTCTGTCCTATGTCCTCTCCCTGCTTCCTCAGCAAAGCACGCTTCTCTTTTCCCTCTCCCTGAAGGCAGACAGCTGTTCGGAAACTTCCAGGAAGAAAATGCAGGGTCTAGTTCCAGGTCAGTTGTTTGAAAGCAGAAGCTCAGCTGAAGTAACATGATAGTGAGGAGGAGCCAGATGCCAGCTAGGAGCTTGCAGACCTTGCTTTGACCTCATCCTTTGTGGAGGATTTGGTGTGACTGGTCCAGTCAATTAAGACTTGGCTGTAGGGGCAGTTCAATCGGGGGCATCCTGTGAGGACAGTTTTTCTGGAAGGCGAGTAGTGTTTCTAGCTTGTCTTACGGCTTGCAGAATAATACAGGCTAAAATGGGATAAAGGGATCCCCTAGCACTGCAGGATCATACTGTGCAGCTATGCTTCTGGGAACAGTGGTGAGATTTCCTGGCAGGGTTAGTCCTCCCCTTCTTATCCTTACTCTTCCCTTATTATTTGCTGATACAATACTCTTGTTTCTTTTAGTTGCTGTCTTTTATCCCGCAACTTTTCAGATTCTCCTGCTCTTCTGAAGTTGTGGTAACTGCAGCCCTTTCTCTGTTTTACCCCTTGCTCTTGGCATATAAACTCAACCTTCTCTGTCCTCGGTAGGCTTTTAAGTGCCATTAGTTGTGAGCTGTTTGAAGGATTCTGTTGCGAATGCCTGTCTTAACTGAAGGCAAGAAGGAGCAAAATAATGTATAGAGTCCTTTGCTAGGGTGATTAGTAGCATAAGGAAGATGTGTATGGAGCTAGCTAGTGGGAAGGTAACACTGGTGGCAACGTATGCAGCCTAAAATGTTTGTGTCTCATCTGTGTCCATGCATTTTTGCTTGTCTATAACTTAAATGCCTTGAGGCCTGTGTCAGGGCTCTACACAAAGCATACCACACACTTTTCAGCTCACAGCTTTATCTCAACTCTATTTTTGGACCATACTTAGAAGATGGCTGTTAAGTCATACAGCTGAAAAGGCAAGGATGCAAAGTGCTGGTTCAGAGAGACCTAACTGTTGTCCCTTTTTCTTTCTCCCCAGCACGTAATATTTTCCAGGTTGTGGTTAGAACCCAGTTGGTACAAGGAATGCTAGTTAGACCCTTCTGAGAAGAGACCTGTGATTCTTTATTTTGTTCCCACTCAGTGCAAAAGAGTCGGAATCCCTTCTGTGTTATACCCTACCTTGTTTCTTGTCAGTGTTACCTTTACATTTGTTAAAACCTAGGAATGTCAGGCAGCTTAGGCTCTGCACTAGGAACTTCTTGAACACATGCTATGGTAAGTAGTTACCCTGTGTTTATGCCAATTTCCTGAAAGCAGTATTAATGTGTGATTGAGGTACTTTTAGATGTCTGTTAGTCATTCATCTTTGTTCTGTTTGTTTAATGCTAATTGTCTTGACAAAACTTTACAAACAAAATAAGAGCCTGCTCACTCTAAAAGTGTTGCTTGTAAAGCAGAACTTCAGGGAATGCACTGAAGAGTGTGGGAAGAGAGGGCTTAATGCCTTACCGTTATTTTTGTTTTAACTCTGCCCTCAGTGCATTTCAGATTTGCACGGTGAATGCAATGGCTGAAATAGATCACTTTGTACCACCTAATTACTGCTGAAAAAAATGTAAGGATTAATGCCCTTGTTAGGAACCTCTGCTGTGATGTTCACTGACTTCTTATGTTTTGAATGAGTGTGGGACCATGCTGGCATTATTTATTTGAATCGTGGGCTTCCTGGTCTTTTGAAGGGTACATACTGTCCTGCCCTTGTACAGAGTGTTTCAGACTGCTTTAAACAATGTGTGGGCCATGATCTTAACCCTTGAGGTTGTGTGAAATAACATGGGAAAAAGTTCTGATTCTTACTGTTGTTCCTTGTTGTGCTTTGGAGGCAGTATGACTGAAACCTCTTGGCTGAGGTGATGCACAATGTTGACCTCTTAAAACTACCTGTTGTTCATACCTGGTACAGTAAATCTCAGAATAGTCTAAGAGGACATAGTGACTACAATCTACTTAAACCATTCCTTTATTATAACAATACTGATAGTTAGCCACAGCAATGTCCTATTGTGAGCTTATTGCTTTATTTCCACTCAATTTGCTAGTAAGAGGGGTAAGGTTTTGACATCTATTCTGAAGGGAGATGGACCAGCTTTGCTTTTAAAACAGTGGCATAAATGTGCTGTGTTAAATCTTAATCCACTTTTTAATGGTGTTTAGAAAGACAGAGAAAGATAATGTTTTGACAGTGGAATTTCACAACCTTCTTTAATGCTCAGATTTCTCAGTTTGACCAACTCTAAATAAAATTACTTCTTGAGGATAACTTATGAATGTTTTTAACTGAACTGGATGAAAATAAGATGGTAAATCTGATCTGTGAAATTTCCATAGTGCAGTGGATGGTTTGAAGAAACAAATGTGAGATGACCTCCACTGCTTTTAGTAATGAATGAACACAGAGTTTTGAAGACGAGCTGGGAAGAGCAGGTCTGAGGTGCATGAGAGCACAAAAGGGGGGTAAGCGGTTTCTCAGGCTGGACTATCAGGAAGATTCGAAGTTTCTGAAATATTTCAGGTCAGTTGAAAGGAGATGAAGAGCAGAGAGAGGTGATGAGACATGCTGGGCATGGATGAAGTAAAAGGGGAATAAGCGGAATAAAGGGAAGTTGTGAAGGATTTTGTGGGAGGGGAAGCCTGTGTGTGTATTTAGAGGGGAAATCATAGAATCGTAGAACAGTTTTGGTTGGAAGAAACCTTCAAGATCATGGAGTCCAACCTTTGTCCTAGCTCTACCAACACCACTAAACCATGTCCCTAAGTACAACATCTACCTGTCTCTTAAACACCTCCAGGGATGGTGACTCCACCACCTCCCTGGGCAGGCTGTTCCAATGCCTGACGCTCCCTGCTCAGAGGGGTAGAGCTGGCTTCTTTGTAAAAGGGCTTGAGACTGGCATAATTGAAAGCTAAGCTGGCTCTTGATGTATGAATAATTACTTGGTGCAGCCTGAAGGACTGAAAAGATGTTTTAGATCAACATCTTCCTTTGAAAGTGGAGATAAAAACATTTGAACTTCATCTGTTTCACAAGTTATGTGTTGATGCAGTACCTTAAACATAGCAAGAGTACCCATAGTATTGCAAGTCATGGTAGAAGGAAAGCTGTAGTGGTTCTCAAAGAGATTCTTCTGGATTTTTTGCCGATATTTAAAATCCATGCTAAAACAGCCTGTGTCTGAACCATGTCAAACGTGATCAATGAAGTCAATCAACAATGAGCAGCTCAAGTTCCTGACCTCCGTCGTAAGTGCTACATTGGGAATAAACATATGTTTTGTAATGAGTAAGTGAACATTGTCTTCCTCCTTTTTTGACCAGATAATTTCAGACCTCGAGTCTTGGAATGATGAGCTCTCTCAACAGATGAATGACTTTGACACTGAAGATCTTACAATTGCAGAACAGAGGCTCCAGCATCATGCAGACAAAGCCCTGACCATGAATAACTTGACCTTTGATGTCATTCACCAAGGGCAGGATCTGCTGCAGTATGTCAATGAAGTGCAAGCATCTGGTAAGAAAGATGTCTCCTTCGTGCTGTTCTGGGCAGTGGCTTTGTAAGAATTATCCAGTGGTCTCTCCCTGGGATGTGTGAAAATAACAAAGGTGCAACTGTAAACTGGAGACGTGTAGGTATTTTTTTTTCCCTTTATACTCGAATAATTTTATAGCTTTGAGCATATACTGTTGTTAGGGCACATTATTTTTCTCTTAAGAGTTGGCAGCACCTGGAGATGTTTAGGTTTTAAAAAAGGGATTCCACTCCGGAAGTCAGTAAAACTAGATTAAGTAGCAGGGTGTTAATCTTAGGTAGTCAGAACAATGCAGTCAAGCCAGAAGTTTCAGCTTTCAAGCAGTAAGTCTTCCTTTTCTGTTTCTTATGCCCCTTCACTCGATGTTTTTAACTGTGTACAGTCACCCAGGGTAAATCTCGGGCTTCTTTAAAAAAAATAAGTTAGTACTGTGTTTTTAGAGAATGCAAAAACTTGGAGCAAATGCTGTAAGGGTTTAAGTTGAACTTTGAGCAGGAACTGGAGACGCGAGCGTAGAGCGGCGGAAGCGGGCTGTTGGGTTTGCCTGGCCGGCGGTCAGTAATCGGGTGGCCGATTGCAGGTGTGGAGCTGCTGTGCGACAGGGACGTGGACATGGCGACGCGGGTGCAGGACCTGCTGGAGTTCCTGCACGAGAAGCAGCAGGAGCTGGACCTGGCGGCCGAGCAGCACCGCAAGCACCTGGAGCAGTGCGTGCAGCTGCGCCACCTGCAGGCCGAGGTCAAGCAGGTACGGGCGCGGCCGGCGGCGGCCCAGCGCAGGGCGGGGCGGGCACCTCGGAACCTCCGTCTTCTGTCGCCGTCAAGTGCCGGCTCACCTCCACCGACAGGCCGCGATTCCGCCCGGACACACGTCAGGTGTTTGGGGGGTGGAGCGGCGTGAGCCGGTGTCACACCCACACTTGTACCTCTGGGCGGTGGGCAGCAGCAGCGCCCCGCCGCCGTCCCTCCGGGCAGGCCAGCCTGCAGGTAAACTGAGGCAGCTACAGATTGCGGTAACGTCTGGGAGAAGAAAAACAAAGCTTTGCTTCTCCTGGCAATAAAGTGGCAAGCTTTGAGGTCCTCGTCTGGTAAACACCTACACCTTGGGTGAATTAGAGTGGGCAAAACCTCTGAAGTAGCTGAAAGTTTAAAGAAACCAACCAAACAAAACACTAGAAAGGTAAGAGGTTTTGATCTTGCTCGCACTTGGCAGCATCACAGAGGTCTGCTGCAGTCTGTTGTATCAGAAGGTCCTCCAGGGCCTCCCAGTGCAACTTGTCCTTTTTCCATCTGTCATAAGCCCTTACAGAAATTCATCTCCCTCCTGTGACTGAGTGAGAACTCCCAAATTATAAAGTAATATAAAAGGGGTCCAGCTAGCGCAGGAGGTGTATAGAAGGTTCCCAAAGTATTTCCAGGCAGCAGTTGGTTACTGTGTGGTAGCAGACCCAAAGTTTCTGTGCAGTCTTCAATTAAAGGAATGCAAGGAGCTGGTAGTGTCTGCTGCCAGTACAGTCTAGGCATTCAATCAAATACTGACCTAGTTCAAGCCACTACATACTTGACTGAACTATCCTGTGTCCATCTTAGCACTTGTTCATCTTCATAAATGCAAATTACAAATGACTCCTTTCACGTGAGTAATGGTTGAGATAAACTATACTGATCTGAAATAATTTTCTGTACTGAGTTGATACTATCCTGAGGATGAGGGAAAAGAGTGCACATTTGCAAAAGAAAGAAAAAATGGAAAGAGAGTGTGCATGCCAGCTGAGACAGTCTCATCCCACATCAGTGGGTTAGGGTGGGATGGGTTAGTAAGAAAAAGAAATTCCCATGATACTGAAATAATACTTAGTTACAGAACAGACTATAGCACTTTGGTAATATTTCAAAGACACACCATTAAATAGTTATTTATACATGTGCTCCCACAATAGAGTGAGTACCTTGCTCCGCTAACTTTGTTTGTAGGCAATTGTAACAAGAAAGACACGTGTGTTTCAAACCTGTGTTTGCAGAGCAAATGTTCTGTGTTTTGGCAGATAGGAGCAGACGATGGTCATCATGGATTGTAGAGGAATATCCATGTTGCACTTAGTATGTGGTTTGTAGGTTGTTCTGTGAGATCTCTAACTTTTTTTGAACCACTGCTAGCCCTGACTGAAACTGAAGCTCAAGTTTAGATTTTTAAGAAAACAGTGTAAAAAACTGAGTTGATCTTACAATAAAGATACAGGTAGTATACTATTCTAGCCAGCTGCCATTTCTTAATAGACTGAGATTCAGGAGAAAAAGTGGATTCTATTTTGTATTTGTAGAACACATTTTATGTTGTATTAAATGCCGTAATAGGTGTGAATTTTCAAACAAGCTTATATGAACATGTAGCTGACAGAATGTTTGTGTGTTACATACTCCTCTTCCATTGTGCGGATTAACCTGCAATGCTTCCCCATCCTGAAGGCCTAAAAATTGAATAGAACTAAAAATTGTCTCATGGGATTTCTTTTGATCCACTTTGGAATGCTTTAGGGCTAATAAGTCTTAGTTTTGTGATTTCAGTTGCCTTTTCAGAAAGCCACATCTGATTTACTTTAGTTTTTGTTAAATATCAGGAAGCATGATCTTATGCTTCCTCTGCACTGGGGAAAACTTCATAGCTCAGCAGGTCACAGCAGGTGTTTTACCTGAGAATAAAATGGCATGGTAAACCTCCTCTTCAGTCTGTTTTGTTTGTATTTTGTTGTGTGAGGCAGTGAACACATGGTTCTCCAGTTCAATTACAGTGATTTTCTGCCAGATTTATTGTTGATGAACTGGGTGTAAGCATACTTACTGTGTAGATGGGATACTGTCTCCATAGCAAGGGTTTTAACAAGACTTCCATTTGAATTTTTCCTGCCAAACTGACATGTCTGCTCTTGTATTTTCTCACACGCGCACACACACACACACATACATATATATATATATATATGAAAAAAAATACATGGCTTGTAGTCATATGAAAAGGTTAGACTGGAACACTGCAGGAATTTTTCCATAGGGTTGGTCTCTGAGATCACTGTAATGGAGACCAGCAACCTGTCTTCTGGCTTAGTTTTTTAGCCAAAATACTTGCAAGGGGTCTCTTCAGTACTAGGTAGTGAAACCTGGCACTTAGTGAATTCTTATCTGATAAGCACAGAAAGCAGATCAGAACATCCAGTGTTGCTTCTCCCTTAACCACCGTACTAGTTCTGCGTTGTGGCATTCAAGTTCTGTAGATCAAGCCTCAGGACTAGGAGGAAGCAGAAGGGCCAGAAGACTAACAGCATTTTAAAGAAAACCTGCAAAGAATTTGCCTGTCCACTTGATGTGTAGTGGGTGCAGAAA